CTCTGCTCCTGCTGCTGCAGATCGTCTCCACCTCCTCCTCCTCCTCCTCCTCCTCCTCCTCCTCCTCCTCCTCCTCCTCGATCTTCATCCTCCTCTTCCTCCCGCTGATCCTCCTGCTCATCCGCCACCTCATCGTCCTCCATCGTGCTAAGCTCCATCCTCCCGCCCGCTTGCGCATCACAAGATGGACTCATTGTTGGGGCCACTTTCACCTAGGACGCCCCAGCTAGCATAATTCAGCGCAGTTGGAAGGGGTGAGTGGGAGGGGTAGGCTGTCACATGGCGCGTGCGCACTTAGCTCTACCTGCCTCAGCTACCATGACTCAATATGTATACTACTCTCCTTTCTCCCCTGATGCTGTTAAGTGCGGGGGTCGCCTCTCCCGCGTCATATTTTCGCGTGCGTGATTTCAAGCCTGCATCTGGGACGCCTGCAGCGAACCAGCGCCGCCCTGCGGCCTTTGGGGGACGCCCGTGCGGCCAAGCGTCGGGCCAAAGCCTGGCCGAGCTGTTGGACTATGTGCTCTCCCAGCCGCTGTGAAGCCCATTGGGGGAACACGCCCGAAAGAAAAAGAAGGGCGGAGCAGAGGGATGATAAGCAGGAGGATGAAAAGGAGGAGGATGAGGAGGATGAGGAGGATGAGGAGGAGGAGGAGGAGGAGAAGCAGGAGTAGGAGTAGGAGGAGGAGGAGGAGGAGGAGGAGGAGGAGGAGGAGGAGGAGGAGGAGGAGGAGCAGGAGGCAACTGAACAGGAGGCCTGTTGAGGCCGTCTTGGGGCTTCTTGGGGGCTTCCTGGGAGCCTAGTGGGGCCTCTGAAGGGCACCTTGGCGGCCTCCTGGGGCCCTCTGGGGGCCTCCAACGGACCTCTTGGCCTTCGGAGGCCATCTTGGGGTCCCCTCAGTCGTGGATCACTCTTTTGGCGCTTTCGCGCCGTCTTGGCGGTCTGTGAGGCCGTCTTGGGGCCGTCTTGCGGGCCTCTTGGAGGCCTCTTGGGTCGTCTTGGGGCGATGTTTTCGGCTTCGAGGGCCATCTTGAAGCGTCGGAAGCTCGAAAAGGCGAGAGCACTACAATCATTGAAAAACTTACGGAACTCAAACATTGTGGCCTTCTGGAGTTCCTCTTGCAGCCCTCTTGAAGCGTCTTGGGGGCCCCTTGGTCCATCTTGAGGGTATCTTGGGCTGTCTTGGGGCCACCTTGGCCGTCTTGGCAGCCGAGCCTCTCGAGATCTTTCGGGGGTCCGCCAGTCATTCATCGCAGCAATATGTAAACTGCTTTTTCGGGTCCGCCGATGACCCAGATTATCGGGCCCGCCCCCCCGGATAACCTGACCTTGTCGGTGGCGCAGGTCCGAAGGGGCTACGCCGTATTGATGCACGCGGGCACACTTGGGACTGCCCACAGCGAACAAAACATAGGTTATCGGCCAGTACCTTTTCCCTTCCCTCCCAACGGATAACCTGGGCTATCGCAGAGCAATCAAGATAATCTCGTGGCAACGGATTGGTCCCTGAGTTTCATTTGACCCCGCCGAGCTGCGGGGAGAGCGGCAGGCGCGAGCGGGAAGGTGGCAGCACGGAGCACACGGCAGAAGGGGAGTGGCAAGCAGCTGTAGCCTCCTGGCTCAAGCGAGCCCAGCATGAACACCTCCACCTCGCCCAGAAGACCACCAAGTGGATGAAAAGGTGGCTGAGTGTATGAAGCTGAAAGATTTCTCGGTGGGGGCAGAACGTGCTAGTGTCCCACACGTTTGATCACAACGAAGTCACCCGCCACCACCACTGGGAACACTTACATTCTACAATTATTATTATTAGTATTCTCGTCCTTCTTCTTCTTCTCCTTTTCCTCCCTCGCCTCCTTCTTCTTCTTCTTCTTGTTCTTCTTCGTTTTCTCATTATTCCTTCTTCATTTTATTATGCATGCCGTCTTGATGCGCAGAAGGTCAGGGTGAGACAAAGGCCCGCGGGGCCGTTACTGTTCCAGAGCCCCTTCGGCGAGCCTCCTTCGACGGCTCTGGCGGCGTGCGCCCTCCTCGTGTGCAACGCTCTGCCTCCCCTCCTCCCTTCCTCTCAGGGACAACGATCGGGGGAGATAGGCATAGTGGGGGACGCATCGACCCCCGATCGTCCATTCATCGCCGAGGGGGGTCCGACAGCCACAACCTGCCAGGAACGCGGGGATTTGCCAACGGAGACCTATCACCGATATATCGGGGATGTATCGCCGATTCCAGGTCGATGTCTCCCCCCCTATGCCAGCCCCCCACCGTATCGTTGTCCCTCATCCTCCCCATCTCCCTCTCTGCCTCCCTTCCTCCTCGCACCCCCCTCGCCCCTCGCACCTCCATCCGTCCTCCTTGCCGCCTACGCTGCCAAACCCCTTCTCCCTCCTCTCCCCTCATCCCTCCTGCCGCCTGCCTCCTCGCTCCTCCTCGCTCCTCCTCCTCCTCCTCCTCCTCCTCCTCCTCCTCCTCCGTCCTTCTCCCTCCGTAGCCATTGCGGCTCAAGACGGCACCTTTTCGACTTGCGTCAAGCGAGCCACGGCATGGTTTGATTGGTTTCATTGTTCTCGCACCTTGACTGCGTTCCTCTACGGCGTCCATGGACGAGGCGTCTGGCCATGTCTCTTCGCTGGCTGGTCGTGCGTTACGTCTCTTATCTTCTTCGACTGGTCGCCACTATTCGGGACTCAACATGGACGCTTACGCAAATCGGCACAGTTTGCCGAACGCCCTGAGGCTTCGGCTGCAACATCTTTCGATTACGCACCAATTCCTGCGTCACCATACAGATATTTGGGAGGAAGATTTCATGGCTGAACTTGAACTGCAGCTGGCGTCTTTCCCTGGATTCGTCCATCCCCCCCTAAGTTTGTGTGCGGAGGTACTCTGGCCAGCGACCTCGCAATTGTGGTCTGGATCGGATTACACCAGAGTTTCAGCCGCAGGCAGCACAACAACAGTGTTCGTACACGTCTGTTCCGGAGTTCTTGACTGCCACACAGGTACTCTACGATGCGCAGTTGGCCTCGTACCGGAATTTAGTCAATGATCAGAACGACTCGATCGCGGCGCTCCGTGGTGTCTTGGATAAGATAGCAGCTGGTGCCCAACCTCCTCCTTCAGACTCCTCTTCAGAGGCCACTTCCGCATCGGGATCGTCACATGCGGAGTCCGCGAGTATTCCAGTGGAGCGCACTGCGGTCCTCTGTGATATAGATACTGTTGCGCTTCGATCTTGGGAACAAGCCTGAAGACATCACACAATTGATGGATTCCAGATTCCAGAGTGCATTGAGAGATTTCCTCCCAACTATGTCACACTCGATTGTAAGCGCTATTCTCGATACGATCTCTCAGGTTATGGCACGTGCTCTTTCCGGCGCGCTTGAGAAAACGCTGGGGACTCGACTCGACGAGCTGTCGGAGACCATGGATGAGCATATTTCTGTGTTTTCGGAGCGGGTCGGCGCTGGCATGGTATCACTTCCAAATCATTCCAGCGTGAGTGACGCAGACTTTGGGGAGCAGACCGTTGAGTACATGCGTGGAGCGTTTGAGAATCGTTTTCAGACCCTCGAGGCGCAGCTGGCGCTGCTGGGACAAAAGCTGGACTGCCCCACTTCCGCGCCGCCCCGCTTGCAGTCGAGCAGTCCTGGGCCCAGAGGCCGTGCCTCGAGCTCCACCCGCGGCGGTGTTACACGGTCGTGATTGTCATAGGCGTGATTGTGTCTTCTCTCATCAAAGTGGGCGGCTGATCGACGACGCCGCCTCTGCGCCGCTGACCCCGGCTCGCTCGCAGTCGCAGGCAGCCTGTTCTACTGGTGCGCCTCCGCGCATCGAGCCTAGAGAC